ACACAACTCTGGTAGCCTGGTGCCGCAGGTGCATTTTTTTTAGACTAAAGACTAAAGTTTGAAAATAACGGTTTCATAGAACAATAACATAAAAGACGACTGCATAGGATACAGAAAATTAAAGGTAGCCTACGTCTGTTTTGGTTATGCATTTACTGCGCCGCATTAAGAAATCACTTCACATATTTATCCATGGTTCCCTGGATCAGAGTGTTGTCCAACACTGAGTTTTTCAAAATGATTTAAAAGCTGAAAGTTTTTGAAACCAATATAAAGTAGTCCAGTCTTTAAAGGGAAACCGCATTCCTCATCTCAGCTTTGGAAGGTACAACACTCTCCTCTTCTTCATCCTCCTTCTCCTCGTCTTCGCTATGCGCAGCACTGGTACCCGCACCAAACCGCTCTTGTACCTTCGCAATGATATCCTCATCTTTCACCGGCTCTGTCACCGAAGTGCTGTTATCACTTTCAATCCACTTAATAATAATTTTTGCATGTTTACATTCATAAAATTGACAAAATGATTACTATAAGACCATTTTTTGATTACTGTAAACAATTATTTAAACTGCATTTGTAAAGAAATTATTCTGTCCCAAGCCCTTTGAACACTATAAGCCGTTTATTACTATATTTCCACTATATCTACTGTCAACCTGTGGTTCGTTTGATGCCATATACATGCCATATACATGTATACATAAAATCTAGTAGTAGTACAATTAGCCCAGGCCAGCAAAATATATAATAATAGGGTCTTGAAGCTGCTTTTCAAGATCATAAATTCTTTTTAAAACATTCAGTTAACAGCCCATTTGTATATTACAGAAACATAGATCAGAGAGTTGTAAATTATGAGAGGAGACTTTTTTCCATTTGATGTTAAATGATCATTCCTGTAAATGTCATAAATAATCTTCACCTGTTCTGGATGCCATTCAAGTTGACTCCATATCCACATCACTTCCTGAAATCTTCTCCTTTAGAAAACAGCTGGGTTAAATTCATAATTTTTATTGCTTTGTTTCCAACTCTGCTTGCTTTCCTATGCTCCTAAATTTCCCAATTAGCCTCTGTAGCAATAAACGTGTTTATTCATTAAAAAAACAATAACATATTATAATGACTGCCTCATTAAATTCATGTTAGCATGTTTCTGGTCAAAATATAGCACCATTATTATAGTAAAAATGATGTTAAATAGCGGAGAGATAATTCTATTCTATAATCATAGAATAGCATTGCTTTGATTAGTATCTGTCATTATTCTGCAGTTTTTGAGTTTTCAGTTACACTTTGACTTATGTTTTATTATGATTCCTTCATTTCCATTTTGTTTTGTGGTTGTATTTGAGTTCTATATTTCTTGTTTACCCTCTGTTTCCTTCTTGTTTCAATCTCCTTCACCTAGTTCCCTTCTAGATTATTCTGTCCACACCTGCTTCCAATCTGTTGATTACCCCAGTCTTTGATCTGTTTGACATATATACTCCTCCTCCTCAGTTACAGTTTTCTGGTTCCTCGTTTTTTCTTCCTCCCTAATGTGTGTTTTCCATGAGGTCTCCTAGATTTCAGTTTTTTTTTGTATTTAGTTTGGGGACTTTTGCATCCCATCAATTCGAACACACAGGCTGTGTTCGAATTGATGGGATGCGTCTTCCGAAGGCCAGAATCGTAGGCCGATTACGTCATAGCGTGGCGCCGAGGTCTGGTCGGATTCCAAGACTCCTTGCTATATGGCCTATAAATGCGTCTTTCTTTTTGGCCGATTTGAAGGATGGGTCTGGTTTATCTTCACTATCCTTGGTTATCCCAGGATTCATTGCAAGACCTAGCAAGCCAGTTGCTCCGTGATCAGAGAAAAAAGATGCTTTGCACCAAACAGTGGTGAATATTGGAAGTTCAGTTTAGTATAATACAAGTATGTGAATTGTTCTGCCTAAAATTAATGTAAATAGCTGTTTTAATGGTTTTTGAGTCAGATGTGTGGCTGGTAATGTTAGATTTATCTAAAGGTTTTTATCTGTTATTGTGTAAATGGATTTGGTTGTAATATAAGGACAGATTTGAATATATCTGCACTGTGGGGACTATAAATCTGATATGATTATTTTTTAATAGCTGTTTTGCATAATTTGCTTAACTAAATATTTTTGTTGTTGAATATAAGAGATTTTGCAGATATATTTTTTTATGAATGGAATAGAATAGAATAGAATAGAATAGAATAGAATAGAATAGAATAGAATAGAATAGAACAGAATAGAATAGAATAGAAAATCTCTTTATTGTCCCACAATGGTGAAATTCTGGTGTTTACATCAGAAAAAAGATTATAGAAAATTTTGAAAAATGCATGAGACTAACATAATAGTTCAGAGTTAAAAGATAAATAAAATACTGTGCAGTAAAATGTTTAACAATATAAAAGCTGTGCACCTGTAGAATAAATAACCAATATACAGCTATGGACATTTTTACAATAATGGATATTTTAAAACAGCAGCAACATCAGATATGCAAAAAGACAGCAGCATGATTTTTAACTGTCTAAGGTTTATATCATTACATTTGCTTTTATTTGTTCATGCTCCCGGTTGTTGTCACCTTTATTCCACTCTGTATTCTCCCCGCACACACTAAGGGCTAGACTGGCTTTATCCAGCCAGATATAACATAATCTATGCTTCTTGGAAGTCATTTCCCCAGTTACAGAACCCAGATGTTGAGTATGTGCATATTCAAACAGCAGCCCGACCTAATAAACGCTCTATATCAAATGGTTTATAACCTTTTGGCCTCAAGCACATCATCGGCAGATCTAGACAAAACGCAAAACAATAACAAAAGTGAAGCTGTATTGGGTGTGCTCAATTCCCTTCATGTTCCATGATTGCATCACAAGGTTTTCAGGCAAATTGATTGCAACCACTCCGAGGCACAAATTTACAGAGTTGGTTTTGTGTTACATTAGCCAATGGGAAAAACAAAACCCCTGAAAGGCACCCAGACACACCCTACATTGAAAAGTCAGTCAATAGTGGAAATGACATATTCTTATATTCTGCCTTTCAGATGTTATTTTTTTTCTGTGGTCCCCCACATCAATGTCATCCCTAGAATATGCAGTTTGACAACTCAGCTCAGTCAACACCATCTACAGCAAATGTCTTCAACAGGGGTCTGCGACCACTAATAGGTCCACAGAGGTACTGCATTGGGGGTCGCGAAAGTGTTGGTGGATTAGACTTTTTATATTCCCAGCTGCATTTTTTTATTGAAATATCTTTAAATACACATTAACATGAATTCAACACACTGTAGAGAACAGATAAATGGAGGCAGAAGATTTCTTTCAATCATCAATGCACACATTCAGCAACACACTGGAGCTCTTTCAAGCTGGGCACTGTTTCATTCACAACACCTGTCCCATCAACAAAGAACCAGAATCAGAAATACTTCAATATGTCCAGGGCGAAATTATTTTTGTTACATAACTCCATCTGTAATAGAGTGACAATAGGACCAGTTTGATATAACACAATTTCATACTATTGTAATGATCTTGGTTCTGTTGGTTTTTCTCAAAGTTTTCAGTTTCGAGTCCATCCAGGTTTTTCCTTATTTTCTAGCTTTATTGGTGTGTTCTAGATTCATTTAAGTTTCTTAGGTTTTTCTTTGTATGTCCTCTGTTGCCCCCTTGTGTTTTCTTTTCCCTTGGCTTCCTCATCAGCTCTACTCACACCTGTTCCTTATCAGCTCGTTAGTCCTTCCTCTGTTCAGTCAGCCATAAATACACTCCCTCTGCAGTCCCTCTGTGCTGGTTACTCGTCTTACTTTGTATCACCCTGGCTCCTTGTGATGGTTTTCCCCTGATGTCTCCATGGTTCTGGTTTGTGTTTTATTTTTATGTTGGATTTTTGGATACCTGTTTTTGCTGCCTGATCTTTCATTAAATCTTTAAAGAACTCACCCCTGCCTGTCAGCCTCTGCATTTGGGTCCTCTCTACAACCTCCAAACAAACCTTGAGAGAAAAACACAAGGGGGCAACAGAGGACATACAAAGAAAAACCTAAGAAACTTAAATTAATCTAGAACACACCAATAAAGCTAGAAAACAAGGAAAAACCTGGATGAACTTGAAACTGAAAACTTAGACAAAAACCAACAGAACCAAGATCATTACAACAATATATATAATTAGGGGGTCCCCGCTCCATCTCGCCATCAGTTTGGGGGTCCTTGGCCTGGAAAACTTTGAAGACGTCTGATCTACAGTATCCCTTAAAGCCCTAAAAACACCAATCCGATTTTGCACCTGATAGAAAATCCTGCCATAACGTCTCGGGCAATTAGTGCTTATTGAAAATAAACAGGGATGATCACACCCAACATGATTTTCTTCAAGGGTGCTTGCATAGCAAAGTATTCACTGATTTACCCATCCAGAAGCTGTGAATTTTGCACGTCAATGACATATTACGATCTGCTGGTTTTCATTTGAATATGAAATAATTAATCTGTATGTATGCTCTGATTAAACTGCCTCTGTAAATATCAATATCTCTGTAAATGACTTGGCTAATGCACTCTAAATTGGTCCTATATAACTAAACTAAACTCTGAATCTGTTTAAAGCTGTAACAGAAAATTGTTCAGAGACAGGAAATCAAGCATAATTCACATATATGAAGATTTATTTATATCTCAAACCAAGTCTTTCCTGGAAGAAATTAACATCAAGCCCTATGTTGTGTTACTGATTTGATTTCTGGGACCTTTTTCTCTTCTTTAGGTCAAGAGAAATTCTTACCATTGGGTGGTTGCTAGGCAACCCTACCTTTTTACCATTTGGAATGTTCCAAATGTTGCTCCACCCTGTTTTGACCCCGCCCTCTGTGATGTCACAGTGATGTCAGAAGAATCTTAATAGTGTTCTGACATCACTACTCTAAGCTCAGAATTCCTTTAAACTTCCAGAGTAACACAAGGTTAACACAAGTTAGGAGCGTTTTGGCTTGAAGGTAAACTAATAATCGCTAAAATACACAGAAGACAAAGATTCTGCAGATATTTTTTACAACTTTAGCCCTCAGGAGTAATCAAGAGAACAGCAGAATGACACTAGAAAATCCAAGAAAAAGAAAAAACTCAGCCATAGATGAGACCCCCAGAAAAATGTTTAAGGTCTCTACGGGGGAAGAAGTCTACACAAGCTGCCGGGACCATATCAGTACAGTGAGAAGTAAAAAGAGTAACAGCTTTGAGCAGGGAGGAACACTGCTAGACAAAAAGGCGAAAGGACTCCAAGAACTGGTCTTGACTAAAGAGTCATCTTCTACCACTCTTGACAATCTCACAGCATCGAGCCGCTCCCCTCTGAGTGAGTACTTAACAGAAAAACAAAACTTAAAGGAAAGGAGTCGAAAGAGAAAGGCAGAGGACTTTCAAGAGTCAGAGAATGTGAAAAGAGTAAAGACAGATAACTCCAATGATGAAACAGCGGATTCCCTTAGAGCCAAATTTAGGGAAACCTATGTTGAGCAAACAGAGATTGGAGAAGGAGGCTTTGGATCTGTTTTTGGTGGTTATCGTGTGCATGACAAATTACCTGTAGCCATCAAACACATCCAAAAAGACCATGAGATGCTAATACATGTGGATGAGAATGGAAAGCAGATGCCCTCTGAGGTGGCTATCATGTTAAAACTAATGGATAAAACATCCAGTTCAGTGGGGCAGTCAGCTATCGTGTCCTTACTAGACTGGTATGATCTGGGTGAGGAACTGATTTTAGTTTTGGAGAGACCCATGCCTGCTGAGGACCTCTTTGACTACATTAAAAAACACAAGGGTCGCATAACGATGAAGAATGCCAAGATCATGATAAAACAGCTGCTAAAAGCAGTAATTCACCTTCAGGAGGCAAACATCTTCCACAGAGACATTAAACCTGAGAACATCCTGATAGAGACCAAGTCACAAGTCCCAAAACTTTATCTTATAGACTTTGGTCTAAGTTGCTTTGATGACCGAAAAAAGTATAAGTATTTCTGTGGTACTTGGGCCGATGTCCCACCAGAATTCAGCATACAAGGGTTCCTCAGTTCCGGACCAACAAATGTCTGGCAGGTAGGCTTAGTCCTGTATTACATTCTGCACAAAAAATGGGCCTATAGATCCCATTCAAAAAAGCTAAAGATCAACAAGAGGCTCTCCAAGACATGCAAAGATTTTCTAAGAAAGTGCCTGACAGTTGACCCAAAAAAACGCCCCACCCTAGAAGAGCTGTTACACCACTGGTGGTTGTTGAAAGAAGATACTCAAATATAACCAGAAAACAGCTGCACACTTCATAAGAAACGTTTTACAATGCAGGAATTTCACAATAATTAGAGGTTGATTTGTCCAGCTGTTCTGATTTCCCTCTTAGTCCAGGAACTTTATTCAGTTTGATATTCCTGCCTTTTATCCAGGTGCACTGGTTCCCCCTTATTTCAGAAACATCCTTTAGTGTAATTGCAGTTTTTTTGGTTTTCTTTGGGTTCTCCAGTTTCCCCATATAAAAAAACAAAACAAAAAATCTTCCCTTTTAATTTAATTTTAACCTTGTATATTTCCATTTGGTGCTCTGGTTTCCCAATATAATCCAGAAAATTTCTCTAACTTGATTAGAGATGTATTCCCTTCTTGGGGGAACTTTCCTCTCATCCTACAAATGCTGGAAGCTTAAATTGAGATCTGTGGCTTTAAACCAGCTGCTCTAGTTTCGCCATATTAAAGAACCTTCCCTTAGTTAGACTGAAGATTTGTAGTTTTTGCCTCTAATCGAAAAAATGGAAATCGTACAATGGCCCCAGTTGTTGGTGAGGGCTACATGGCCTCTGGTATTATGATCTGCTGTGGTAGCTGGCCTTAATTACTCCCTTAATTACTTTCCTTTATATTGGCTATCATGGTCAGATCATTAGATGCTGTTTTCCAGTGTTAGGCATGTTACTTTGAAAAAGTAATTAGTTATATTGACTAGTTACTTCTGCCAAAAACTAACTGAGTTACTAACTGAGTTACTCCACAATAAAAGTAACTAGTTACTAGTAAAAGTAACTATTGCGTTACTTTTGCGTTTCTCGCCCCCGTAACCCTCAGCAACCGGCCCCCTCTGTCACAAGGCTCAGAAATGAAGGACCTTGCAACTTTAATAACAGTATACTGCACTGTGCGCAAACACAACTCTGGTAGCCTGGTGCCGCAGGTGCATTTTTTTTAGACTAAAGACTAAAGTTTGAAAATAACGGTTTCATAGAACAATAACATAAAAGACGACTGCATAGGATACAGAAAATTAAAGGTAGCCTACGTCTGTTTTGGTTATGCATTTACTGCGCCGCATTAAGAAATCACTTCACATATTTATCCATGGTTCCCTGGATCAGAGTGTTGTCCAACACTGAGTTTTTCAAAATGATTTAAAAGCTGAAAGTTTTTGAAACCAATATAAAGTAGTCCAGTCTTTAAAGGGAAACCGCATTCCTCATCTCAGCTCTGGAAGGGACAACACTCTCCTCTTCTTCATCCTCCTTCTCCTCGTCTTCGCTATGCGCAGCACTGGTACCCGCACCAAACCGCTCTTGTACATTCGCAATGATATCCTCATCTGTCACCGGCTCTGTCACCGAAGTGCTGTTATCACTTTCAATCCACTTAATAATTATTTTTGCATGTTTACATTTATAAAATTGACAAAATGATCACTATAAGACGATTTCTTGATTACTGTAAACAATTATTTAAACAGCATTTGTAAAGAAATTATTCTGTCCCAAGCCCTTTGAACACTATAAGCCGTTTATTACTATATTTCCACTATATCTACTGTCAACCTGTGGTTCGTTTGATGCCATGTACTATGATGAATTTGCCATTTTACAAATAGGGGCTACATTAAATGGCTCTTCGGGTCTTCCTTGTGCTGATTTGTCATTAGTGTCAGTATCATCATTCTCCTGGTTGTCCTCTCTATTTTCCTTCTAGGCTTTCTCCTTTGCTACCTTGCATTTTTTTTGCTGTATCCTGTTTACTTCATTGTCTAATTATGATGACTCCCATTGTTCCATTAAACTAATAAAGCCAGATTTTACATAATTGATACTAATATCAACCAATGGGAAAACCAATACCCTAAAAACAAAACAAAACTAATTTTTAAAAACAATTATTTACCTTTTACGACGGAGTACCCGGCTGGTCGGCATCATCAGTTATGTGATTCCGTTCCAACTAAGTGCATTAACTAAGTGGTTGTAGCCAGCAGATAGCTTGCTTACTTTACTCAATAGATTAATAATCTACCGTTAATTTTAACTACTGAGGACCAAACCATTTCTTGCAATGTTAGGGGAGGGAGGGGGGGTTGGTCAATATCTTCCTGCCTTTTGAAACTGTTTACTGCTAAAAATTCAGGGAGAACACAAAGATGAATTATTTTACTGCTGGGTTTTCTTGTTATACTTAAAAAATATGGTGGGACATATGTTTTCTTATTTTTTTGGAGCCCCCCTCAGTCAAGGGGATCCTTAGAATATTTTTTACTTTCCCCCCATACAGCACCCCTGGGGTTAGGAGGTAAAAAGAAATCATCCAATCAATGAAAAGCTGAACATTTAAAAACCTTTAGCTTAAAGCCTTTTGCCAAAAACTCTTATATCTAACTACAATTGTTTTATTTCTTGCACCTGTTGGCAGGGACAACAGTCACCCTTAATTTCAGTGTTCACTGTGACTTTGCCATTAGGTGAGCACCAACATAGCCTTTATATGAACTGCATATAAATTCATAAACACACAGGCAACAATAACAGAGACATTTGTTTTGAGGAATCATTACATGAACAGATGTAAGAAATTCATGGATTCAAAAAGTACATGGAATTCAAGGTAGGAAATCAAAGTCAAAATGAAGACCATTTACTTTGTTTTTAAACAGGCGTTTGTTAAAATATCACTATATCACAACCCATCAGGCAGATTGTAGCGCAGAAACTCCTGAAACCCTGTGGGACACCTGAACCAAAGAAGAAAATTCATGTTGTGAAATGGTAGATGACAAATGCTTCCAGGGTCTCAAAGGACTTGCACACTGAGATTTTGTAAAATGTTTTGTGTCTTTATGAAGCACGGTATGAACATATAGCTGAATAGGTCTTGAATAATAGAAATGAATAGTAAAAAGCAGCATGACTTGTCTAGGCAATACCTGACCAAGCCATGCATTAAAAATTCCCTTGACAGGTAAGGAACTATGACTCAGCATGTAAAAGTGTAGGTTAGGGCAAATAAGCATCATTCAGTGGTCAGCATTGGTTTCATCGTGCTTTGTTTAAAAGTGAGATTACAGTACAAAGGGGGTGATGCCTCATAAGAGCTTGGTGAAGCAGGCTAAGCAAGGCCACAGAGGCAGTTCTAGCAACACCAAATATGCGATTTTGGCTATCAAAGCGAAGCCAAAGGGACACATAACCTGCAAGTGACAGTTGTAGTAGAAAAAGGGGAACTTTTGTCTTGTCACGCTGCAACAATCAGTAACTATATGTGACTGGGACGTGGGGTGAAGGACGATGGTGGAGGCAAAGCGGATTTCATTCATAATGGCTGTAAAGCTGATGGTAGTGGTTTGCAGTCAGCCCGAGTAGCATAACTCAACAAAATATTACCACCAAGATACAAGACTGCAAAAAAGGTGAGTACTGAAGTACTGAATAAGTTCAGTGTCACTAGATTTTTGCCATAGTACTGCTGTACCATTCGGGCTAGTTGCCTGCTCTGCAATTGCTGGCTTGGTGTGCGATCGGTAGGCGAGATGCCAGGCAAGTGACGGCATGTAAAACTGCTACAATGTGAACTAATCTTAACAGTGTTCAAGCTTTCTTGAACACACTTTGACTGCATAAAGTGGTACCTTAACCTGCAAGTTCACTCATCTTAAAACTGATTACATTAAATCATACATACACTAAAAAAAGCCAATAACTCTCTTCTAAATGTTAAGTTTTCTTTACATTAATAAATTAACCCTTGTAATAATACTCTGTATTTTTCATCTTACCCTTGTTAATTTCTTCTTCTTCTTTCACTTCTTCCTATCATCACAAGTAGAGGAGCTAGAGGAGTCTGAGGAATGTTCCTTTGAGAATGACTCTGAGCTAGGGTGGGAGGATCCAGAAAAATCAGCATGTGATGCACATGGTTCAGAGGATGGGTCATCATTTTTCATGTTTCTTGATGCTGCATAAAGACAACACAATGAACACAAGGTTAAATTACAACTGTTTTGAAATAGAATGTATAATGGATACTGAACTGTTATTGGATTGTGTTCCTGTTGTTTAGGACATAAAATAAAAAATAAATACAGAAATAAAAACATGCTCCATAAATGCATAAGCATACAATAGAAATAAAATAAATACAAAATAGAATAGAATAGAAATAGATAAATAAATGTAAGTAATTAAATTATATGAGACAAATGTAAATATTTCTTATCACTTCATTTATTTATTTCTCATAATTTACAACTTAATCTAATAATTCTTAGTTTTTAAATGCATTTATTTGTCTGCGTTTTAATTTTTAAATATAATAGAAATAATTGCATTTAAAAAGCAATTAACAAATAAAGTGTAATTCTTATGGGAAATAATTAAATAATGTGATATTTAAAAAAATAATAAATAAGCTAATTGTGAGAGATATTTAAATGTATGTCTCATTACATATTTTAACTGCTACTTTATTGTATTTTTGTGCATTTATTTTATACTATATATATTTGTTTCATTAATGTCAAAGTCCTCCATAAGTAAGGGCTTGATTTAGGTTTATGTGTGTAAAAAATGCAAACCATATTCAGTTAAGAAAAACAAAACATCATGATAAGAGTAACAAAAGTTATCATATCATACTCAACATAATGGTGAACATGACTGACTTACTCTGAGAGAGCTGGTCTTTTTAAAAGTCTCTCTCCTTGCTTAGCTGTTTCACTTTAGCCAGCTCGTGTTTGTGTTTCTGGAGTTTGGCAGTGGGGGCCATTTGGGGAGCACCTGACAGCAACAGAAATTCAAACTTAATACTAATCATGGATAATGCATACAAGGAGGGGTGTACACAGGGTGTACATCTTTTGCATTTCTACATCACTAATTCTCTTATATTTTTCCCAGTCAGTATTTTCAAAAACCCATCTTTCTATACCTTCAATATATCTTTGTCTCACCTCAAGACCCACTTTTATTAATATTTGATAATGATCTCTTCCTATGGTTGAGTCT